CCCCCCCCCGGACTCCCCCTCTGGCCCCCCCCCGCCTAGCCACCTGCCTCGCCGCCCGCCTGGGCCGGGCCGACGCCGACCCCCGGGCCCCCCCCTACGACTCGCTGCAGGTCTATGGCTACGAGGGCGGGGGGACGCCCTGTGGCAGCCTCAGCCCCCTGGGCTCCTCCTGGGGGGACAGCGAGGGGGAGGGGAGCGACCCTGGTGAGTGGGGGCCCCTCTTTCGCACCTTGGCCGAGCTCTACGGGGGCCAAGAGGGACCCGCCTGAGGCCACGCCCACCTCCAGCCATGCCATGGGACCATGCCCACTTCACAGCCATTCCTGAGAGGCCACGCCCCCTCCCTCTCGGTCATGCCAGCAAGGTCACGCCCACCTTCCAGCCATGCCATGGGCATCCCACCTGACCACGCCCACTTCCCAGCCGCACCTGAGAGGCCTCCCACCCCAGGTCATGCCAGTTAGGCCACACCCACCTGCAGCCACGTCCACAAGGCCACGCCCACCTCCCACCCATGCCGTGGGTCCACACCCACTTCCCAACCACACCTTTGAGGCCACAACCCTCCCTCTAGGTCATGCCAGTGAGACCATGCCCAGCACCAGACCACGCCATGGCCGCACCTGCAGGCCCACGCACTCTCCTAGCCACGCCCCCAAGCAGGCCACTCCCACTTCTAGACACACCCCTTCTCAGTCCCATGGCCCCTGCAGCCCTGCCTCCCACTCAGTGCTTCGCGCCCCCCACCTACCCTCCGCTCGGCCTTTGTCCTGTGTCCATCCGTCTCTCCTCCCCCCGCCCGCCTGTGCTCCCCCCACTCACTGGGTGTGTTCCCCTCATTGGGTGATCAGCCCCCCTCCCACACGTTCCCTCCTTTCCCTGCCCCCCCATGGCTGCTCACCCACTGTGACCGACTGTGACCCCCCGCCCCTGATTAATGCTGTATCCAGCCCCCCCTCAGGCTGAGCCACACCCCCAACGTGGCATCCTGCCATCCCCCAGCCAGGGGAGCCCCAGGAAATCCCAGGGGATTGTGGGGGCTTGGACCCCCACACATCTAGGATCCACCAGACCCTGCTGCTCCCCCAGATCCACCTGCCCCCTCCCCCCCCGTGGATTCTGCATTGGGACTTTTAATGTCACGGGATATTGGGGGTGGGTGGGGAGGTGCCATTGTGTGGGGGTGGGGGAACATACTATTGTGTTCGAGGGGAGGGGGGAGCGCCCATGTTATAATTTCGTAATAAACACTTTATTTTGTAAAATACAAACCTCTGCCTCATTGTGGGGCCTGGACGCTTGGGATCCTCCCGGCTCTGGGAGGGGAGTGGGGTCTGGTGGTTAAAGCGGGGGGGACTGGGGGCCAGGACTCCTGGGTTCCCGGCTGGCTCTGGGAGGGGAGTGGGGTCTGGTGGTTAAAGCAGGGGGGGGCTGGGGGCCAGGACTCCTGGGTTCCCGGCTGGCTCTGGGAGGGGAGTGGGGGTCTGGGTGGTTAGATCAGGGGGGCGTGGGAGGCCTGGACTCCTGGGTTCCCGGCTGGCTCTGGGAGGGGAGTGGGGTCTGGTGGTTAAAAGCAGGGGGGGCT